AAATAATAAAATCCAAATCTTAAGAAGGGAACAGTATGAGCTTAAATTGTGAATACCTGGTTTGCAGAAGGTTACAGATGGCACTGAAAGCCCAAAATCCATATGCAAGGTCCTTATGTGAATTAAGCCAGTGGTGAATCTCCCCTGACCGTAGTTGAGGGGTGGGAATAACCTTGTTATTTGAGAACACTGTACTTGCTATTTTTAAATAGTGTCTAATATTATTTTGTCAAAGTTTGTTCTTGGATTGCCTTCCTGAATTCTTATAAATTTTGTTTTCCCTTATTTAGCTATATCTTTTTTAATCTTTCCTTCAATCCGTTGAAAATAGATAAGTGCCATTCTTCTGAATTCCTTATATCATAGCTCCAATGCCTTTGTATCTTAAGAAAGATCGTTTGACTTGTTCAGTCACTTGTTTGAGTCACTGTTGTCTTTCTTGGTGTGAACTGAAATTGTCTGTTCAGTTCAGCTCACTAAGGCCTATATATACTATTGATCTTTATGTATTTCACTTATTGAAAATTTAGTTTGCCTAGTTTCAAAATTCTCACATTCCATGTTCCACTTATTAATAGATGTTTGTAACTGTTTCTTTTCATTTTGAGTTGTGTCCCATCAGTAAAAGAAAGTTCTGAAAGCTTTGCTCAATCCATATCATTTAGGATATGAAGGTTGACTCTACTGAAGAGGCAGTTCTGCCCCAGTCATATTTTTAGAGCCTTCCAACCTGAGAGGCTCATCATCCAGCACTATATTAGACAACATTTTGTTGCTACTCATAAGGTTTTCAATGCCTAATCCCTTAGGACTGGACTGTCTTTACCTTCTTTCTTATTTGTTCTTAACCTGGAAGATCCTCTGAAATCTGTTCACCATGGGTAACATTAATGGTATTTAAATACTCATGGTATAGCTGGCAGCATCATAGCAACCCACAACCATTGGCTATATAAAGACATTAGGTTAAACCTTCAATAATCAACCTTGGAACCAACCATCAATTGCTCATGTAAATTCAGTATGAAGATGAAGAAAATTAAAAGAAGTTCATGAAATAAAAGTTTGACTTTGAGTATATCCCAACTGAACTTAGAGATCACCTCAAGAACAGATATGATGCACTGTTGACAATGACAAGACATTGACAATAGCAATGACACTAATGACAAGACATAAGGAGTTACTGGATGGCATAAGGAACATCATCCATGAAGAAAGCAAACTGTAATTTAAAAGTCAAGAAAGGAAAGCCCAAAGTGAATGTCAAAGAGAAGTTGCAAGGGAAACTGAAATGGAAAAAAAAACCCGCACACAAAATGATGAAATAAAAGAATCGAACAGAAAATTTCAAAGGGCAGCTTAAAAAAGACAAAGTAAATTTTTATAATGAAATGTGCAGACCTGGAGTTAGAACAACAAAAGGAAGAACACTCTCAGCATATCTCAAGAAAGAGAGGAAGCCTCAAAAGATGTAATGCACACACTCATGGCATCAAAAGGGACCCCGGTGGTGCTGTCGGGTAAGCACTGGACTGCTAACAAGATTGGAGGTTTAAAACCACCAGCCACTCTGCAGGACAAAGATGAGACTATCTGTTGCCCTATTTACAAAGTCTCAGAATCCCTGTATAGGGTTACTATGAGTCAGAATTGATTTCATGATAATAGGTTTAGTTTGGTTTTCAGTTGGTACCATAAAGAATTATTTTTTGATGGAAACTATACAAGAGGTAGTATATGATCAAGAACAAATGGTACTGAAGGAAGAAGTTCAATCTGTGCTGAAGTCATTAGTAAAAAACAAAGCCCCAAGAATTTATGGAACAGCAACTGAAATGTTTTAACAAGCTAAAGAAGCCACGGAGCACTCACTAGTCTATGCAAAAAAAAAAAAAATTGGAAGACAGCTACTTGACCAAACAAATAGAAGAAATCCATATTTGTGCCTATTCAAAATAAATAACACTACTCATCACATACAAGCAAAATTTTGTTGAAAATGTTTTTAAAATAGCTGCAGCAGTACATTGACAGAGAGTGACCAGAAATCCATGTGGGATACATGTGTTAGGTTGGGTTACCTAGAGAAACAAATCCAGTGATATGCATATAGTATAAGAAAGAACTTTATACCAAGAATTATCTACCAAGAAATCATCCCAGCCCAGTCCAACTCAAGTTAGATAAACCCAATGCTAATCCTTAAGTCCCTCTTGAGACTCACGTAACCACATGCCAGTGATGCAGAATGATGAATTGGGAAGCAGAAAAATCTCAGGCTGGTGGTGGACCCAGGATTGATGGGAAGGTGGCAGGGCTCTAGGTGGGTCTCAGGGCTGAGTGGTCCACATGGAGCCACCTCTGGAACCAAACAGTCTCAGTGAAATAACAAAGAGGCAGTTCCCAGAAACCTTTAGGCTCATACAAAAAGCCACACATTCAAGGTGTGGCTATCAAGATACCACTTGACTTATGGGCTTGACTTTACCCCTAGCTGTGAGTGTCTAGTTGACATAAAATCAACCAACTATCACAATGCAGAAAAGGATGTGGCATGTCAGATGGATCTTGGCGGAAAGCAGAGAATACCAAAAAGATGTTTATTTTCATTTTAATGATTGTTCAAAGGCATTTGACTCTAACACTGAAAATGGGAATTCTACAACACACCTCATTATGGTAATGTAGAACCTGTACACAGACCAAGAAGCAGTCATTCAAATATAACAAAGAAATGCTACATAATTTACAATGAAGAAAGGTGTGTGTCAGGCTTGTATCCTTTCACCACATTTATTCATTAGGAATGCTGAGCAAATAATCTGACAAGCTGGACTATATGAAGAAGTCAGCATCAGGATTGGAGGAAGACTTATTAACAATATCTGCAATATGCAGATGATACAACCTTGCTAGCTGAGAACCAAAAAGGACTAGAAACACTTGATGATGAAGATCAAAAACTGCAGCATTCAGTATGAACTGAAACTCAATATAAAAACAAAACAAAAATCTGCATAACTGAGTCAATAAAGAACATCCAGATAAACAGACAAAATTGAAGTAGTCAAGGCTTTTATTTACTTGCACTACAATCAGTGGTCATAGAAATCAATTAAGTTAAATGCTATTGATTGGGCTTCTCATAATTTTCATTTTGATCTTGTTTTTGTGCTTATTAAATCTTCAGATCTTTCTTTTTATGATATTCCATAACTTTATTTTAGATTATTCTGAAATTTATTATCCTTCTCAAGTTTAAAGCAGTATATTCCATCTTGACATTGTCTTGATTTTTTGAAGTTCTGTAAATACTATTCTCACTCTGTTTCTATATTTTGTCTTGTAGGTTTATTTTACGTTTGATACTTCTATATCTGGGCTGGTTTGGGAGTGATATTTTCATGTGTGTTAATTTCACGTTGTTACTGGTTGTTCAAACAACTTCCTTTAGTAACTTTTTTTTTTTTTTTTTCTCAAACTGGTTTCAGGATTCTTTCTGTTTTAGTTTTGGAAGTTTGATTAGGGTCAAGTGATTTGCTCAAAATTACATGATTACAAATATGGTCAAAACAATAAATGACTGTCAAAGAAACTTGGTAGTAAATACGATCTAAAACTGACCTGATCCAAATGTTTCAGAGGTTCTTTTAAAGAGCTATTTTGGCACTTCCTTGGCTATGAAAATATTAATATTCAAATACATTCAAAAAATAACTCAGTTAGTGGGGGTGGAGAAAAGTGGCTATTCCCATATAATACTAATAGAATATAAATGGCTACAATTTATTATATTTGGATAACAATTTGGAAGTAACCTTTGGCATAGCAGTTTTCTTCTAGGATTATAGACATGTTCTAACAAGTGTACAAGAACAGTATGGGGTTGTTTGTAACAAAAATAGCCTAGATGCAACTTTAAACTTTTAAAGGAGCAGAAAGTAGAAATTGTGATAAATCCATGCAGAAGAATATTCTAATTCAACTCACTGAGACTGAAACTCTTTATGGGAGTTGAAATCCTCATCTTTTTCCTACTGTGGTTTTGAACTGCTGACTGCATGATTAGCAATCAAATGAGTAACCACTACATCACAAGGGATCTAGCCACATATTAAGGCAAAAGTGTTGATACTTGAACTTTCAACAATATGGGATTGTGTTGGTCCACTTACATGAAAGATTTTTTAAATGTTGTTTGATGCTAATTATCTCTATGTGAGTAGTTCATCTCTCTGGTAAACTGTGTATTTCACTAAAAAAGTGATCTCACAATTCTTGAGTATTACTATAAACCTTGAATAACACCATAGAAGCCATGATGCCACTGGTGATGTTAGAAGTGGTCCCAAGGAGCAAAATCATGACATTACAAGAAAGAGTTGAACAACATGATATGTACTACAGACTGAGTTCTGTAGCTGTTGTCTACCATTACAAGATCAATGGATCCAGCATAAAGACCACTGCAAAAAAAGAAGAAGAACAGGGAATTCACCAAGCCACCATTGCCAAAACCTTGAACTTTTCTGGGGATGCAGGGTATAATACACTCACCATGCAATGTGTTTCAATTGCTGTTAATGCTATCAGTAAGTCAAATGTAACTTGTTACATTTTTGAGATCAACATTTATACATGTATTTTGACTACATGGGGCTTGAATGTTTAACTCTCCCATTGTTCAAAGGTTAATAGTCGATATTGAGAGAGTAATCTCCAAGGCACATTACTTTATCAACAAAACAAATGTGGAAAGTCGAATACCTTTTGTAGTCAAAAAGTACTGGATCACAGAGGAGGGAAATGGTAAACACACACATTTGTGATTTAAGTGAGGAAAAATAAGAAACTTTGAGAGGATCTGTCTCTAAGGTTGGGAAATTAGGAAAGTATGTTAAAAAATATTCATAAAACATACTTAACGTCCTTCATATGGAGAATAAATCAGCATAAAAAGCAGGACGTTCTTTCAATGATATGACTATAAACATTACCTTTCCACTCTTCTATTGTGTGTTCTCTTTCATCTAATTGCTTGTCAGGGATCTTTGGTGGTGGCTAAAAAACATGAGACAACAACTAAGTCAGTTTACTCTTCTAACCACTAAGCATCTATTCCTCAAACAGATTATTTGTAACATGCATCATCACAACAAGAGTGATCAATCCTCTTATGTGGAAGAAGAGATCTAGAAGACTCATTCTGTTTAGAGAAAAAAAGTTGTTTAGTAATCTATTTCTTTACTTCCAGATTTTGGGATGGTCATATCTTATTTATAGCACAGAAATGGTAGACCCTCAGGCAAGGAACACATGGGAAGCAATTTTATTATCTCTCCCAGGGACTTGGAGTCCCTGAGTGATGGAAGTCATTAATGCTCTTGGGTACTAAAAGATAATGTGAGTCCGCCCAGAGACACCTTAAGAAAGTCCTAACTAGCAGTCTACTGAAAAAAATCAGCCACTGAAAATCGTATGGCTTTTCACAGTTCTACTCTGACATGTATGAGTTGGCATGAGTCAGAATTGATTCAATGGTAACTGGTGACAGTGGTGGAAGAAGGGGCTTAAATATGCTCAATAGATTAAACCCCAAACCAAACCTCCTGCCATTGTATGACTCCCAGTGCCCCAACATAGGGCTTCTGAGGCTATAAATCTTTACCAGAGCAGATACCCTCATATTTCTCCTGTGGAGCGACTGGTGGGTTTGAACTAGTGACCTTGCAGTTAGTATTCTAATACCAAACAGTGCCACCAGGGATCCTGCTCTCATTAACTAAAGTATTATTTATGCAAAACAATCATCATTTACCTCTATTTTTATTTAAAATTAAAAGGTCTCCTCCAAACCCCATTTTAACTCTAGCCTTCAGAATGCAACATAATCCTCAAACATTAGAAAAAAAGAAAAAGAACTTACAGCTTCTGCTTCAGAAGGGTCATACCACACATTGATGTATGGGTGCTGGAGAGCTTCATCTACAGAGATCCTTTTAGATGCATCTATTACCAGCATTTTGGATAACAAATCTCTTGCCTGACTGGCTGTAAAAACAATGATGTTAATGTACATATGTTTGTAAAGGTTTTCAAATTTTAGAAACTTGAAACTATATTTTTAAAATACGTGTTTTAAAAAGAAGAGCCCTTACTTCAAAATCAGATCAAATATATGATTAAAATTTATAAAATTAAGAGTTAATAACTAAAACCTCCCCTTATCCTATTATCCAATTAAAATTATCCCATAAAATTTGAATACACACACATATATATAATTACATTAAATGAATATATAAAAGTACCTTTGAGTTTGTTGTGTTCAGAATCAGCTGGGAAAAGCACATCGGGGAAGAGCTTCTCAAAGCTATATCCGGCATACTTAGGTCTGTTTTCAACATAAGTCCTTACTGTTGGTTGAAGTTTCTTCATGAATTCAGGACATGGTGTTCCAAGCTGTTCAATGACTTTATTCCATTGATCAATATCTAATATTAAGTTGCTAAGAAGAATACTCTGTATCTAATGTTCAACACATTAATCATAACTATATTAACATAAAAAATTATTCTTAAAAAGTCCTAAGAATGAATGTGGCAGTTATAAGACTAACCTTATTCTCTAAACTTATGACTTTTGTGGATGTGGAGGGGACAATGCCTTTTAATAGTGGTTATACTATAAAAATTGAAGCATTTTAGTTTCATAAATTTTATCTGGCTCAAAGAATAATTCAAATTACCACATACAAAAACATTCAAAGCAAATGGTACATAATTCTACAAGACAAAATTTGCTTTTTCATCCAGGTCATCAGAAAATGCAAATGCACTGCCTAGAGAATGAGAAATATTTTCATAAGCGGTTTTGACTTTGAGTTTTCTACACTAATAGAAAATATACATCTCACTACCACTGAGTTAACACCAACTCATAGTGACCTTATAGAACAGGGTAGAACTGCCCCTGTGGGCAGTTTCAAAGACTGCAACTGTTTACAGGAGTGGAAAGCCCTGTCTTTCTTCGAGGAGTGGTTTGTGGTTTTGAACTGCTGATCCTGTGGGTAGAATGCCACCAGGGCTCCTTTTAGAAAATACACAGTAAGAATAAAAAGGATCACTATAAAAAAGTGACATATTTTGTGCAAGTCTTTATTTTGCTTGCAGTAACTTTAAAAAATTTAAATTAGAAAGAAAAGCTCTGAGGTGTCTCAAGAAGATTAGTGATTTACTACATTGTAAAGATTAAGCTTCCTTGATCTCCTTTCTCCACAAGTTTTACATTTTAGGACCCTGAAGAATAGGACCTACAATTATCTTACTATAACCTAGAGAATACAGCTTTTCAATTCTTCTCCCCAAACAATTCTAAAGCATTACTAGTTACTAGTTGCTAACACATGACAGACCACTATTAACATAACCAGTAAAAGTAGTCAGAAGAATAAAAGCACAAACCCAAATGAAACAATCACCATGTAAAACAATTGCTGCTCTGCTCAAATTCTCCAATGAAAGGTCAATGTTATGCTGAATGAGAGGCGAAAGACAAAAGCAAATAGAACATAAACAAAGGACAGGGGAGAGGCAAAACAACAGGATGAGCAAAAGCAACAATTCCAACATTCTCATCAAATCTAAGAACTCCGTGACTTACTCAGCTTTATAATTAGAAATTCTAAATGCAAGCCATGATTTAGGCTAAATAAATTAATTCAAAGGCCAGTAAGTAAGGAGATGATAATACTTGGGGAGTTTTCAGAATTAACAGATGAAACAATAAAGGAGGGAAGGAAAGTCTATGTCAAATAATAGGTGGTATTTTGGAAGAGTAATTTAACATTACTTCATTATTTATTAGGGAGAGACAAAATGCATTATACCTGACCAAGCTGAAGTGCTGTTATATATATTTTGACCTTTAAAAACTACATTTTAGGCCAAAGATAAGGATACGATCTGTACCTGGGAACAAAACACCACCTTTGATCATTTCTCCCATGATGCACCCAACTGACCAAATGTCAACTGAAAACAAAATGCAATGACATTAAAATAAAGATTTTGGTTAAAAAAAAATTTTAATATATAAACATTAAAATAAAAGAAACCCACAAACGCCATGTACAGTTTAAAATGATAAAAAGCAGAAAGCAATAAAAATGAGTGACAGTGAATGGGCTCTGACTACCAGCAGAGACTGTATGTCCTGCTGCCAGGTGCAGCCTAAAGGTATTTCAGCTTCTCCACCAAATAATTTTTTTAACTGTAACAGCCACAAACTTTATGTCTGTTCAAATACAACAAATGTACAAATGTGTCATATTAATTTTCCTTAGAAAAAAAATAAACTTCATCACCTAACTAAACTGCTGCAGCAGCATAAGGATACAGTCCCTTCCTGGAAAGAGGATTTTGTGGCAAACCATTTCTCCCATAATGCACCCCACAGACCATAAATCCACTATATGTTTGCAGCACAAAAGAAGAAAAAGCAAAGCAAAAGGTCACTTAAAAATCAAAGAAGCATAATATGACTGCATTATATAACGATTGCAAAAACATTACAGAAAGAAAGTGATTTTAATTTTAGCTAATGAAATAATTTGAAACAAAATATTTTCCCAAAAGGCTTTGATTCACAAAAGAAAAAAGTGTGGTCTTTTAAAATATGTGTCTAGTTTTAAAGTAAGAGCTATGCACAGAAATTACATTATTTTTTAAAATCCTATGGATTTTGTATCTATAAATTTATTAACAGAATATAGAACAGAACCAGATATGAACATTGTAAATAAGGCTTAAGGTGTACAGTGAATACCAAGCTTGTAGAAATAATTTTTCTATTATTCTTAAGTTCAACTGTGCAGTACACTCTTTCTTTAAGTAAAACAAAAGAATAAAGCATGAGAAGAAATGTTAGCATATTAAAATATTAAACACAGATGGATTTCTATGGAAAAAATCATAGTAAACAGTTAATCTACAGCTCTTCAAAAATTTCAAACTGCATTTAATAAATGTATGTAGTTGAGATATAATGGTTATTGTGAATTAAAAGTCAAATTATATTCTTGGCAAAAGCATACTATATTTACCTATACTACCTCGAAAGGAATAAGCATATAGAGAATGAACAACTAATCCAATTAAGAGAAGTTCATTTCCTAACTTACCTAAAGTATTGCAAACCCATAAAAAAGAAGTTACTTTTGGTGGGAGACAGTATGAAAATTCCCACAGGTTAATTACCTAGTAAGCTTTCTGACTCTCACCAACCTTACATGGAAGCTCTACTCAATACTTTAAAGAGTTTGCTAAACCTAGAGATAGTCAAACTTACGTATTTCCACATTTTTAAAATTAAAATTAACACATCCTCACATGTATAACTGATTTTCAAAATCAGCTCTGAAGAGAGGTGCAGTTCAATAGAAGAGGAGAATGTTAATGTCTGCACTTTTCTACTACTTCATGCATGGATGAAGTAGATTTGTACATTTGGCTATGATTCAACTTCCATGAAAATTTAATATTCATGAATTTTTTCAGAAAGATTTTTTTTCTAATTAAGGACGTTTTAGGCAGAAATTGTAATATAGTATGTACTGTAATACAGTGTGTCCTCCCTATAGATCAGTGGAAAACTGCAAACTTCTGGTAAATATCCAAGATACAATTTAAGGTGCAACTATTGTGAATTCCAGTGTAGACTTTCTAAAAACATGATGAGCCTATTTATTTACACACTAAATTAGCTTTAGAGGGTTTTATTGCTCCCTCCAACTGGTCACTTTAATTATCTCTCACCTTTGAAGAATGACCTTACAATAGCTATTAAAGTTTACACTAAATACTATAACTATTCATTGACAATGAGTTGTAAGTTCACCAGAAGGTTAATTAACACTCACATTTTATGCTGATAAAACAAGAAAACCAATCATCTGTGGCAAGCAAGTACCATACATATGAGGGCTGCAAAAATTCATCCATTACCTTTTAATTACATTTTTCTATGAACTTTTGAAGCCCTCGTGTATTCAGTCTTAGGGCCCACAGTAGTAAATTCTTTAGTTAATGGTAGTACTGATGATGTGTGGATTTGTATTTAAATAAATATTGCTGCATGTTTTCCAGAATATTTACAACAAAGTAGTTACTTTCAAACACCTGATATATAGTTGTCAGAAATACACATTCACTTTTGCACTTCAGCATAAACATTCACATAGAAATCTGACTGATGAGAGAAAAAATAAGAATTATCTTTCAAACAAGTAATAAATAATGCTTGCTGACCGTTTTCTTTGTAGCCCATCCCCAGGATGACCTCAGGGGCTCTGTAGTATCGAGTGACTACATAAGGTGTCATCATGAAACTGGTTCCAGCCGTTCTGGCCAATCCAAAGTCAAGAATCTTCAAGGTGCAGTCTGATTTTACTACTATATTACTAGGTTTTAAGTCCTTTAAAAAAAAGGGGAACAAAAATAACCTGCTAATATATGAATATTTTACAGTTCACAATTGTTACCCAAAGCTTGAAAAACAATTCATGTTAAATGCTCATTTCTTTCATTATAATGGATCTCAGTGTCTAGATTAGTCCTAACTGAAAAAATTAGTTTTTTGGACATTTTTAAATTTATGCATGCATAGAGCTGTTGGAGGACTTAGTAATTTCGTTAACTGGGAAACATGCTGAATTATAAATTTTAGGTCAAATGAAAAGTTCACATAAGAAAGAACTATTATGATGAAACAAAGAATAACATTTACAGTAATCTACATATTACATTAGTAGTACATTTTGTAATTATGAAAAGCTTTATATAGATACTATTGATTAACAGTGGGTTACTCTATGCTTTTTGTATTAATTGATGATCACATATAAGGGATCAAAACTAAAAGAACAATAAATAAATAAATAAAGGATCACAGCTGTCATTATCGGACTTTCCCTCACTGATTTTGGTGCCAGGATCATGGTCATGTGCAGCAAGCAGCACAAAACTATTATCATGGCAGCACAGAACTACTATCACTACGACTCAAGCTCTACAGTAGCAAAATATTTCACAAAACTATCTATCATCTGCAATCAGAAATGAAGAGTACTTGTATAATGAGCTTCAAGCTCTAGAATAGGATGTGATCAAAAATGGCCTGCCAGTTTTCAGAATATTCGTTCTTTTTTTAACTGGAACACAGCCATGCTTGTTCTATTAAGTATTGTCTAACGATACTTTTGTTACAACTGTAGACCTGAGTAGCTGTGACAGAGACAATAATCCACAAATCCTAAAAGATTTTCTATTTGGCGTTCCCCACCCCAAGGCTATATCCATCCTTGCGGTAGAAAATGTTAGTAAACAAATCTTTACTAGTATGTGTTGGTAAATATGGGTTGCATTTGACAAGGCACTCCAAGAGCAAGAGGCATGGACAGACTTTAGAAAGCATTAGCCACTGGAAAAGTAGAAATAAAAGGAAACAAGAGTCCAGAATGTAAGGCAGAGAAGCTACCCTAATGGCACTGTGGGTTGGTTAAGCCTTGGACTGCTAACTCCAAGGTGGGAGTTCAAGCCTACCAACTGCTCCATGGAAAAAGAGGAGACTATCTGCTCCCATAAAGATTTATAGTCCTGCAAACACTATATAGGGCCCCTATGAAACAAGATCAACTCAATGGCAGTGGATTTTGGTTTGGTAGCAGAGAATAGTGCCCACCAACACTTTGAAATTGGCTCTTCCCCAATTTTCCAGTTACTTTATAATTCCTGTAATTAATTTGGCCAGTTCTCTGAGTATAAGAGCTATGTGTCACCTCCAGGTTGAAGTTTAGAAGAGACAACACATATCACATATCCAGACTATATGTTTTGTAGCTTTCCTTCCCCTGCCACAGTGACCAGCTAGATAATAATCTCTTTCAATGGAAACCTCTCAGTCCCACTTCCAGCACTGACTTGCTGTGGACCCCACCTAAGAGAAGAAAGTTCCGACTATGCAAACAATTTCAAACTATCGGAAGTACTTAAGTAGAACGAAATAAATCTAGTATGAACAGGCGAGATTAATTGTAGCCTAAAAATTAGCCAGATAAGTGGGGTCTGCAATTCACTCTACTGCTTACTGTTCATGCTCTTCACGGGAAAACAAGACAAAACAAAAAGTTCTGGAGAAAGTTTCCAGCACTTATTGTATGCATAAAGTGAGAAACAGTGGCACAAGGGCTGACTTGTAGTGGCACCGAGATGTCTGCTCACTTCTTTGCTTTAGGACCGAGTCATCATTTTTCCAATTCTGATCATCTCTCTCCAGGAACTGTTCTCAGACACCAAGAGACACCTTTTCTAGGAACACCCCTCTTTCTAGGAAAAGTATAAAGGCCAAGCGGAGACATCAGCCAAAGGCGTAGTAGTAACTGCATCCAATTCATCAAGTTTTCCTTCTACTCAATGCTCTATTCCAACAAGATGGTTATCCAAAGCACTACCCAACAAGCTTCTAACATGTTTTTCCATTCGAGAGTCAATTTCTTAGCAGATTGACCAAATAAAAAGCCTGCTCTTCACTTTAGATAATAGACCCCAATATGTCTCTTGAAAGCTCAACTTTATTATTGTTGGCATTGAGGAAGTATCTTAGAATGTCCTAATGCTAGTATACTTGTCTGGTTCTATTTTTTTGTAGTTTTAGGCTCTCTATAGCTAGGCTATCTATGTCCAATGAAAACATGCGAGCAAAGGAATTGAACAGGTATTTCTCCAAAGAAGTTAAGAAAAAGCCAAAAAGTGCATGAAATGATGACTAACATCATTAGTCACTGCTGTTGTTCTATGCCATCAAGTAGATTCTACCTCACACCCTGTATGAAAATAAACCTTTTCTATAAGGTTTACTAGGCTCTAATCTTTTCAGAATCACATCATTAGATCTTTCTCATGAAAAGCCATTGGTGGGCTCAAATCGCCAATGTTTAGAGCCTAGTGCTTAACCATTGTAATACCATGTTCCTTTCATTAGTTATTAATGAAATGCAAACCACATGTTACTAGTGGTGAAATAATGTGTAAACATGTAGCAAGTGATGGCAGAATTTGAAGAATGTAATTAATATTACTGATTCCTGGATGAAGAAACTATTGGGTAAATAAAAGTAAAGCTATGGTGAGATACCACTTCACACGAGGGGGAGGGGAGGGGGAAACTAATAAGTATTGGAGAGAATGTGGGCAAAATGGAACCATTATTCACTCTTAGTAGGAATATAGAGCTATGCAGATAGCTTACAGTCCCTCAAAAAGTTAAACATAGAATTACCACGATAGTTGTTTTACTCCTAGGTATATACTTAAAAATATTTAAAAGTAGCCAATAGCCAAAAGGTGGAAACCCAATGGATGAATGAATATAAACAAAATGTGCCATATACACATTCAAATATAATCGATGGCGAGGAGGGTATAGAATGCCTGGTGGGCATTGTAGTGCAATGTAGCCGAGAAGAAGCCAAGAGGAATTACTGAGAGCTGAATGAAGGTTGAACATGATAGTGATTCAGGAGGAAAGTAAAAGGAAATAAATGAAAGAACTAGGGGGCAAAAGACGTTTAAAGAGGTATAAATACAGGCATGTACACATGTAAATATATTTCTATGTAACGATAGGGATACATATCTATGTACATATATAACTGCGTGGAATTATGCAAACAGGGTATGCAAAACATTAATATAGGTGATGAGTATATTTTAGTTGCTATAAGAGAGCTATCTCAGAAGCAGAAACGAGAGAAATTCTAAAACCATCAAGGAAGAAGAGCCCCCAGTGGAGCATGTGAGATTTCTTGTCTGAGTAGATGGAGGCCAAGACCAGAGTCACCAGAGGCTGTGGCATGGAAATCATGGGACAGAGCACAGGGTCAAGATGAGACCGGAGATAAAGGCAAGGAGACCATGAGACAGGAGAGAGGAACAGTGCGGACACAATGAGGTTGTGAGCTAGAGAAGCAAGCTGGTTCTTGGCTCACGGAGGCAGATGCCAAGGTGCTATGTGACCGAGAAGCGGAGGACTAGAACGAGATTTATGTGCAGGCTGAAGAGAGGTGGTGCTGTGGATCAATGACTGTATCCTCAATGTTTTATGAACCTAGCTTGTGGTAACTTCTTAACCTTCCAAATAAATCCTTGTAGCTGTATCATCAGTGAGTTGTGCTTGGCCAGTGCAAGGGATGATTAAATCCAGCCGAAAGCCGAGTGCTGTGGGAGGAACAGCTGGCGTCAGAATAGGGTAAAGAAGGACCTCTGCCTCGTGGGAGGCTGAGGCCTTGGGCTGGTGAAGAGTTGGATTCTTCCTTTCCCTTGTGGAGCCAGGGGAGACCACGTGGTTTATGCTACTGCACACCACCAAGTTTCATATTTTTAAATAGTTATTTTATGTGAGCTTCACCTTAAATAAAATAGGATAGTTTTTTTGTTTTGTTTTTACTAACCCGATGAATAATTCCAGCCGAGTGCAGGTGCTTGATTCCACATAGCATCTGATAGAGAAGGTAGGACATTCTTTCATGATCTAGTTCCATCTGAATCACTTGGCAAAGATTTGCATCCATGAGCTCCATGACTATGTAACTTCATGGGTGAAAAAAGATGACAGCTAAAGTGCAGCGACAATCTTAGAATAATGTACTACTAATTATGTTTTAATTATCAGACTTACACATCTTGGAATTCATCGAGGGATTTCTGTGGTGTGAACACATTCAAAAGGCCAATTATCTGTGGTAAAAGCAGAGAGAGTAATATTAGAAACATTTTATAGCACTTTAATTTGGGAACTATAAATACATGGGTTAAAAAATTCTCCCACCCGTTTAAAATCTTTAAAGTCTGATTAAACTCATAGACTCTCCTCCTTATTTTGTATGTTACACTCGCTCTTATCAACAAAGCTTCACCTAAGCCATTCCATTTGTGAAAGCACAAACACTAAGTACTATCTATGCTCACTGATGCAAACTGCAAACCTGGAGGTTTGACTTCATACAGAGGTGTCAGGTAATCTACTCCTGAGAAGTCACAGCCGTTAAAAACCCTGTGGAGAACAGTTCGACTCAAGACACCCAGGAGTTGCCGTAACTGTGTTGTTAGTTTGAATTATACCAACTTCTATACTATTTTGTCAGCACATCTTAAATACCACCCATCAGCTCTTTATCCCACTCAATAACTCCCTATAATACCAGCGGGGGG